CCTTTGAAACAACAATTGATGAAAGTTAACAAAGGAAGCCACTAACTTAATTTGAATTTACTAATGGTTTTTTTTTTTTACTTCTTTCTGGTTATAATGTATGGATCTGGCTTTGGACCCAAAAGCCTCTGAAAAGGAGAAAGTCAGGAACTGTGCTTACTGCTTATAGATACTTTTACACCAGGGTTCATGTTAGGCATGCAGAGGAACAAGTAAATCAACACATAAAGAACTCTTTCTTTTTTTTTTTTCTTCCCCCCTCTTCTGGACTTCTGAATTGAAGGACAGGATAGTCCCTCTAAAAATGTGACTATCCAACTGCAGGCAGGTAAGTAAGAAAGATTACCTTGGAGACAATTTGCATCCACGTTGCAAGTATGCATTGAGTGTCCCAGTTGCTGCTAGCAACAGCCCAAGGTATGGAGGTGAAGGTTTCATAGGTCTTGAGGAGAACTCTGGGTGGAACTGAACTCCCACAAAGTAAGGGTGATCTACAAGATAATGTCAAAAATTGTAAGATGTAGGAAGAGGACAGTAGAGTAACTGTTAGGAAAAAAGTTTATGCAAGATTTCACACAGGAGTCCAGAAGCCAGATGAGCATGTGTTAATTTACGGGTGAAGCATCAGGAACCTTAAATTTTTCCAGGAAAAGCAACTGACAACAAAGGCAGAAGGTTAGTAAGGCAAAATAAGGAAAAGTCATCCTGTGATTCAACCTTAATGTGCACAGTGATGTAATTTAAAGCTGAATAAACAACTTGTACCAACATGTAAGGGGAGGGGGGGAGGGAGGAAAACCACAAAGTCTACATTCACCATGTTATTTTCATAGCATTTTGGTTTCCAGTATACATTTATACATGTATATACATGCACACCTGAGGGGAAAAATAGAACAGTTCCTAAGAGACCAAACAATACCATACAGCAACTATTGTCACACTAAGATACGGATATGAAAGCAACATTCACAGAAAACTGGGGAAAACAACCTTCAAATAATTAGTCCCGGAAGGGTTCTCCTGGGACACTAAGTCCAGTCTCCTGTTACAGAATACAGCTGAGTCGTGTAGTCTTGCACACAAAGGGTCAAGGCTCTGCTGTAACAACCCCTAGGTTTTTCTGCTCCCATTAGAAATCTCTTTAGATACTCTCTTCCTTTGCTTAGCAACCTTTTCCTAATTCACAGGCCATCTTTGTAACAGCCACCTTATCTGTTTCGTATGATGATCTTTTTTCCTGCTATTTGACCTGTGTGATTAAGGATGACAGTATCATCACCATTCAACTCCACCTGCCATGCTAAACAAGCCATGCTGTTTCATCTTCCCTTAAATCTTCAGCACTGCTTCCCAGTCAGAACACCTCTTTCCTACTGCTTCTGCTTCCCTTCTGTCTTCTTCAAAAGGATAAGGAATGAACAATGTTTTCATACTCATCCATGGTGTGCACCTGTTTTAAAGGAGCTAACATGAACCACTTCTAGCGCCAGGACTCTGGATGAAATTAACCACAGATTTCTGCTGGTTCCACAATTTCCAAGGCAATCCCAAACATTGAAGGAATTTCTCTGCAGTACACCATACATGATTACAAGAAACCTGGGATGTCCTTCTATTAAGACAAACTAGTCTACTGCTCTTCTCTCTGCTGCTAAGTCCTAAAGAGAACCTGAATCCTAAATTTATATCCCATAACTTCTCTCTCTCTACCATGCAATTTAGTTCTTTAAAGCTCTAAAACAAGACAACGACAAAGCATCATTTCCTGTGGGGATATTTTGCTATTTTTCTTAAAAGCTTTGCCCAAGCTCTCTAATGTACTGTTATTTCTGTGCTTCTGCTCAAACCCACCCTCCTCCCTATGATGATTGTTTTTCTTCAGTAATCAGCGTCTCCTTGCAGCCCATTGCGAAATAATTCCAGGTTTTACTGCTGGTTTTATTCTTTTCACAGTAACATGCAATTTAAAAATCCTGCCTGATTTATTTCACGATGCTTTCTATAGAAGTTGCTTCATGCAGGGCAGACAAAATAGCCTCCCAACACCAGCAGACATAACAGAGGCAATCCGTCAGGAGCAAACGAAGCAAAGAACACCATGGCAATTAGTAGTTCATGAACTCACATGTATTCTTTGCTCCGAGATTGCTCTCTGTGGTGCAGTTGCTTGACATGGGAAGTAGGTGTCTATATTTGAACACTGGTTCAAAATTACAGCACTGTTTTTCAACATACCATGAAGTATAAAATTAATTCTCAGGAGCATCATGTCACAAACAACACACCATGGGATAAGAATATATTCCTATGACCAATTTCTGTTTCTGCGCATGGAGTTTATCTTAACCAATGGCAATTAGAGGCCACATAAGAAAAGAGAAAAAAAACAATCATCTTGTAAAGTAGCCTGCATCTTCAGGTGTCTGATGCTCACCTAGGCAGTGGCTTAACAGCGAGGAGTTAACCAAGGAATCAAGCAAAATCAAAGGGACTGTTTCTAAGAGCTGTTCTGTGTAGCACTCAACAAACATTTGCTGTGTAGCTCATTTTTATTTCAGAACCTTTTAGAAAAGACATCAAGTCTTTCTTGGTAAAGTAGTCCAAATCTACCAGATTTCCATAGTATCAAACCCTCATCTATAGGAATCACTTTTGTGAAAGAAAGGAGCTTGCTTTCTATTTGATTTTTGTACCTTTTCCTATGATTCTAACCAGAACGTGGCTGAAGGAGACACAAACTGATTGGAAGGCACTTTGGGAGGTCTGTAGTCCCACCTCCTACTCAAAGCAGAGTCAAGGTCAAGGTTCGATCAGGTTGCTGACAGCCTCGTCTAGTCAAGTTTTGAAGGTTTCTATCTTCAAGGATGGAGATTTCACAGCTTCTCTAGGTCATATAGTCCAGTGATGTTTTAAACTTGACCTATATTGCATGTATATACATATTTCATATACTCAAACAAACTGACATATATTAGTTACTGACAACCGACTTAAGAGTATCTGACGAAGCAGGCCAGTGTCATCATGAAGCAGGTTTTTATCTCTAAAAGGCCAAGGTGACCACGAGAGGTCCCTGATGACTGGAAAAAGACAGTCACCATGCCCTTCAAGAAAAGCAAGAAGAATTCGAGGAACTACAGGATGGGCAGCCTAACCTCAGTTTATGGCAAGATTATGAAACAAGTAAGGATTGTTTCCCACAATCCTCCAAGTCATTTCCAGACACATGAAGGACAGGAAGACAATTGGCCACAAGCTTGGGAATGACCAGTCTTTGGATGCAGGGAGAACAGTAGCCATCCTTTATCCTGACTTTAGCACGGTTTTTGATATGTTTTCCTAGCATCCAAGTTGGGGGCTACAGGCTGTGGGTAGACTACAAAGTGTGCTAAAAATAGCTCAACTGCTGTCTTCAAAGAGCAGTGGTGAGTGGTTTCAAGTACAACCAATGGCATACTTGGAGATACTCAAAACTCAACCGATACGGTTCTCAACAACCTGATATATATTTGAAGATAGCCCTGTGTTGAAGCAGAGGGTTGGACTAGATAACCTCTCAAATCATTCTACACAGCCAAATCCCAATGAGCCAGAATTATGACCTTTTGGAAAAGGAGCACATTTCTCCCTGATAATCAGATACACGCACAATGCTTGAGAGGTCTAAGACTGGCTCCTCACATCCTCTGAATCGTCACCCATTGTAATAGGCAGGTGGAGTCAACAGTATTCCCCAACATGATCTTGGCTGTTAGGATAGCTACGTATTGTGCTCACATGCCACCTAATGACCTATAATTTACACAGTTTTAATAGATGCGGAAAGTACTACGGACAAGTAAGACACTCACTCTCCAGTTCAATAATTTCCATTCTGTTCCCTTCCGTATCGTGGCCAACAAATTTCAAACCTTTCTCTTCAAAGCAGTGAGTCAATTCTGGGTTCACCTGAAATATTGAAAGTAATAATAAATGTATTTCCATTTGGTTTTGGTTTTAACAAACAGTAATAGTTAATTGTAATTTTTTTAGTATTCATACAAGAATTAAAGGAATTGAGAAAAGAGTTGGGAACTTCTGCTCTCTTGTTCTAACAATGCTCTGGTAAAAAACTGTAAAAATGGGCATGCTTATTTACTAACAGATGAATCAGTCATTTTAAAGCTTACTACATAACATACAGAAGATTCAAGCCAAGGCCCCTTCTGCTTGCTGTCCTCCCGATTATGAGCAGCTTGCATTCCTCGGGTTTTTTTCAAACATCCCACTACAGCAGAGGTAAAGACTGACCTCCTCTTTGAACACTTCATTCCAGTGGTTATGACACAAGCTGTGGTTCAGCTCCTCCTTCAAAGTGAGGTACTCTGCAGTGAGCTGTTTTATTTCCTTGGTGATGTTCTAACCACTCAGTTAATGTTCACACTCTCAGCACCTTTACCACCATCACATTCTCCTTCCAGCTTTTTAAGGAAACTTAACATTGTCTGAATTAGTTCGCAGCAGGCACACATCTTATAGCTCAGGACTCTCTGGAGATAATGATGGACTCATGTCCCTTCTGAACTATCTCAGAGATAACTCTAGGAGCTCTTGCCTGTCTCCTTGAATGGCAGTAACCAGACACCTTTGCTAAGCTGTTCTCAGACAGAGGAGGGGACCTACACAAGGGGCCTGTAGAGTTGGAAGGCAAGAAGCAAGTGATCTAAATTAGCTTCTGAGTTGTAGGTGCTTTAAGTCTGTCTCCATTTAGTCTGTGAAAGAAGGTCCATTACCTAAACAAAATCTAAGCTTTCAAATAAGCCAAATCATCCGAGTAGCAATGAATTTAAGGATTGTCAGCCTTTACCTTTTAATGACTTCACAGGAAGACAAGTCAGGTAATCTCACACATCACTCTCCAAGACCATTTTGCTAAGACACTGCTCCATCTCTACCACAGAAACAGTACACTACACTATTCCTCTCCATTAAACACTTGCAAGAACACCCCTGAAACACCAGTTTCAGGTGACACAGTACAAGAAAGAGATTGACAAAATGTTGCAAGTCCATAGGAGATCCAACCAGGATGCTTAGGGGGCTGGACCAACATAGAGGGAGAGACTGGATGAGCTGGATTTGTTCATCCTGGAGAAGGTCAAGTGTGGATCTCATTGCTGATTTCAACTATGTAATAGGACAGTATAAAGAAGACTGAGCTAGACTCTGCTCAGAGATTCACAGCACAAGACTGAGAGATAAAAGACAAACTGCCTAAGGATATCTCCTGTTTGATACAAGGGAAAAAAGGGTTCACCATGATGCGGTTAAGCATTGGAACAGTTTCTCAAAAGATGTGGAGTCTTTCTCTTCAGAGAGATTGAAAACTAGATGGGACAAAACCCTGAGCAGCCTGATCTAATTTTGAAGTTGGCTCAGCTCCAAAAAGGGAGTTGGACCAGAAGATTTACAGAGGTTCCTTTCAGTCTGAGTTATACTACCTAACCATTACTAAATTTTGGGTTATGTTTATGTAAGAAATCTGTAGGTAGAATTGTGCCTACCAAGAGAAACACAGTTTGCTCACGCTTTAACTTTTGGGCACAAAGTACATTAGCAACACTTACCTCATATCGATGCCTGTGTCGCTCCTCTACAAACGTTTCATCACCGTAAAGTCTTCCTGAATATACAACAAAAAAGAAATTAATGCTAAGGTGTTGCTTTTATAGTTACAACTATTTCTTGTAATTTAAACCTCAAAAAAATTTCACATGTAACGCATAACAGGAAACTATTCATCTCACTCCAGCTTTCTGTTTTCCTGAGTGATGCTTTTCCTGACTAGTTGCTTTTAATTTACTGTTACCTGAGTTTATTCAGGATTCATATTCAACGTTCCTTGACCAGAAATAGCTTAGGTAGACTAGAGTCTGAAGGCCATGCTCAAACCAATTTAAATTGTGAAGTCCAAATTAAAATTTAAAAAAAAAAATGTTTGAGCGAACAAGCAACATATAATCCCTTCAGGGTTTTACAACAGCTGTACACAAAAGATGCAGTGAAGGAAGTCCATAGCCTCTTAGTAGCATCTGTTCCATTACAATAGATTATGCATGGCAGCTGGCATAACACCTCCAATGACAAACAAACAATATTGTTTCTATTTGTTCTCCTGATCTCATTACCCAAATGACTCAGTCCTCTGAAGCTAATCTGGAACACTTCATATTGCAAGGCAACAAGGAGCAAGTTAGAGGTATACAGTAAACCAAAATTTAATCATATCTCCCACAGTGACAGCTCAAACTTTGCTGTCAATTTATCCTAGTGTCATTTGCATTACTATCTCTCCTAGGGGTTGGTACAAGAACTAGACTGCCAAGATCTCCAAAAACTGTAGAGTGATAATACTGCAATTTTACAGTAGGTGGTATATGTGTTAATTTTAAGGAACCACCTTTTCAAAGTCATTATTTCTATTCAAGTTCTAAAGCATCAGAAACAGGAATCATGTTTCCTGAGCAAAATACCAGATCTTTTTAACAGTCTTTGATAAATAAGGTCTTCTAAACAACTCATAATGCTGGTCAACAGTTACAACACATGTTAATTTTTATTAACATTTCCAAAAAGTGTTTAGGCCACAGAACAACCTGTACATCATGATACGCCTATCTACATCACACCTAGGCGAAGCATCACCCAGGTCCGTCAAATCACTAGCACAGGCATTCTTTAAAAGGTAGATTTTTCATTAAATCTGTATATGTATTACACTTTGGTCTCCTGCGGAAGTAGATGTAACTTTTAAAAGTTCAGAAGGACACATTCCCAACATAGCTAAACATAGTAATAGCTCAGATAATAGGGCAGGATAATATAAGAAATATGTCCGTATTTATCGATGGACAAGAGCATCCTTTTTACACATTTACATTTTACACATTTACACATTTTCAGCATCACTTATATTACTACTATATAATAAGGTGATTAATGAAACACTTAAATATAACATCAATTTTAAAACACATATAGATCAAACAGAATAATTTGTTCCATATTCCGCCTGTTTTTATTTTGCCATTTGAAGCATCCTGTTAAAGCAAATAATTTTTCTTTCCTACAACAAATTATTTGCTTTCCCAATACAAGACTCTTCCCAGGGCTGGGCTAGGCCTAGGGCAGTGCCAGATCAGAGACTGGAGTTAATCAGGCCCTGGCCATAATTAGGATACAAACGAGCAAACATTGTCAAGACAAGGTGAAGACTAATGACATTTAAGGCTGAGGTGTAATGGCAACTCTAGGGAATGACAGGCAGTGTTTAGGCCTGGCAAGAGCATAATGGGTAGGAGTTTGGGTTAGTTCAACCGAAAAGCTCCAGACGTAGAACAAGAAGCCCTGGTTCACACTCAAGAAAACTTGAGAAGGGACATATCCCTTGCACTCTGATCTTCCCAAGAAAATAATGAATTAAACTACCAAAAAATGCACTTCAGTTATCTCAGTCTCCTCACCGTTTTTTAAAGCAGTGTAAAACACTGGACCCTAACTGGCCTTTTCACTGAGACTTCCAGATGTCTCTCATTTCTTCCTTTTGATTCTGATCCTGGGTGCATGTTTATGGAAACAGGATCAGAGTGAATGAGCTGGGGAAGCTGGCACCCAACTGGTGGCTTGGAGTTGGAATCCTTTATACAAAGTATGCTTTGGTGTTTTCGCTTTGCCATGTTACAGAGTTCTTATTAAAAGCAAGTCATAAGAACAGAAATGTAGCTTACTTAAAACAGAATTTTGTGTTTTGAAAACAGTCCTTCTCTTCCCCAGTCTCATTGTTCCACCCATATCTCCTGGATTGTGTTCTGGCATGTCAATAACCTGTAGAAAAAAAATTGTTTAAATAATAGTATCTCCAACAAATTAAAGGCAACAATTGCATCAATTGCATAACAGGCTGCATAGATTTATAAATTGTAACATTATTTATTTTTCCTCCAAGCATTCCCAGCTATGGTTTCCATTTGGTTTCCCTAACGCTTTGTTCTCAGTATTGGGAGTGTAATAGACTAAGGATATTACTAACTGGTCTGCAACTTTTGCTTGATCTTAACATTAAATGAAAAAGCAATTTATTAATTCCTTAATTTATTTTTTAGGGTGGAGGAAAAAAAAAAACCCACACACCTTTCATTTTTAAAAAGATAGCAAAATGTTAGCAATAGGATAGTTGTGCCCAAGGTTATTCTTTGTGCTGTAAGAGTACACAGAATTTTAAAAACTGATAAACTCATAGTTGAAAAAAAAATCCACCAAGTAATAAAGACACCATCTCTGAAAAAGCAAGTCCCTAAACACATGGTGATAGAGGCTGAAAGATTATCCTGGGTAAACATTCTTGTACACTAGGCCCTTTCTTACACTATTTTTTATGCACAATGTTCTTTCTTACACAAGGGGCAGAAATAGCTGTCTTAGCAAGACAACGGCAGTCCTCTTTTTTGGGAAGCAGGGAGAAGAGGAGGGCATGGAGCAGCAGAGTGAAAAAAGGACACTTGTAACAAGACTATAATCTAATGTTGTAGAAGTGGAGTACTAAAAGAGATGACTCCAACGTGTGCTATTTGAGATTATGTATGAGTAATTTATCACAGGGAGAAAACTGAAAAACCTTCTGCCCTAATTCACTTTTACTAAAGAGTTTCTCAGACTGCCTAGGAATCCACAAAAGACTGGGTTGCCTTTTATGAAGAATATGTTATTTAACATAGGATCGCAGAATGGTTTGGGTTGGAAGGGACCTTAAAGACCATCCAGTTCCAACCCCCCTGCCGTGGGCAGGGACACCTTCCACTAGACCAGGTTGCTCAAAGCCTCATCCAGCCTGGCCTTGAACACTCCCAGGGATGGGGCATCCACAGCTTCTCTGGGCAACCTGTTCCAGTGCCTCCCCACCCTCTCCAGGAAGAACTTCTTCCTGATATCTAATCTAAATCTACCATCTTTAGTTTAAGCCCATTTCCCCTTGTCCTGTCACTAAGAATAAACTCAAAGAAGAGGATATACAAATACTGGTTTTGAGGACTGAAGCAGATGGGTCACGTGGCTGCTATGTGGGTCAAGAGGCTACTATGTCAGCCAAGTGAAATCCAGGATGGTGGGATTCAGGGGATGTGAGAAACCATGGCTTAGTGGAAGAAGTGTGTTTAGTTCTGTTCAGTTTGGAAAATCCTGTTGGGTCTCCCAGTCACGTTTAGAAGAAGTCTACCTCAGACAGGTAAAACAGTGCAAAATTAGAGAAACACATGAGCTGAAACTATGACCTATATACTTGTATTCACATATACACAGTCAGTGAGAAATGTAATTGACAAAGAAAGGTTGTAAAAATACAAATATTCACGCATATGGGTAATCTTGAATTGGATTTTTATTAACCTTAATTTGCCCTCTGGCAGTAATGAAAACAGTTTCTGATGATACACTTCATAAAGTGAAGTTACTCAATTTAGAAGGGATGGTAGAAAGTGCTTAGCCTTTGGCCTCATGCCAATGCATTTCAGGTGTGCAATTATCTCTGTATAACCTTATACCTTCAAAATGTTATTTATAAGCTATATACTCATTATAAAATGTCACAAGCAGGAGTTGTGATCAAACAAGTGGGATATTACAAATCCTCTAATTACATCCCAAGTCATGAAGGTGAGGACTATACAACACATTCAGCTAAAAAAATAATCCCACAAACTGAAAAAAAAATTCATTGAATCCTTAGTACTTCAAAAAACATCAGATTGTCTCCTCCTACTTTATTTCTTTCCATTTACTTCCACTTTTTTCCTGAAGTAGTCGCCACAAAAAACCTCACACAGGATGTCAGAAGCAGTTAGAATGCATACAGCCCAGGGGGTGTATATGTCAAACACTCTGACTCTCTGAAATCACACACACAAGTTTGCCGTGAGGTGTTATTTACCTGCCTACAGCCATACTACAGACAACCTTAAAGTTGGGCTCCTGACTCTTGTTAAAGGGAGATGAAGTGGCAACAAGCAGCTACCAAGTACTTCAAGTGTATGCTTCCCTTTCAATTACAAAAAATTCACTTTAACAGCTGTTTAATGAGTATTTGCAGTTGATAAGAAAAAAATGAGGGGTTTGTTTAAGTTCGGAGGTTAAAATCAAGATTAGACGTTTCTTAGTTCTCAAAAGTGTACCAAGCACCTAAATACTGTCCCCTAACCTCAGCCTTAGATTTTACTTCCTAAAAATGTGGGGCAGGATATTTTCATCTAACTTTTCTAACTGAATCATGGTAATATCCAGGTATTTGGGGTCCTCCCTCCCTTCTCAGAAAAAATTTGGATTTCACTGTTTTCACCTTTCAGTATTTGCTGTGCTAAGATACTCTTATCAAAACACTTTGAGCATAATGCCATAAACAGAAGGAAGCATGAGGATACAATAAGTGGGATGGTAACTTCTTGAAGGACACTGCTCACTGTTGAACTCCCCGGTTAAAACGCTGGATCCAAATGAAGTGGACCTGCCTGTCTGTGCAGTCCATGGCAAATTTCAGTAATTTACTGTGCTTAAACATGTTCTCCATGAAAACTCAAAACCATCAGTTAGCAAATATACTCTCTCCTATTCATTAAACAGAACATATCAGTTCAAACAGGTTATGACCACACTCTCAGTTCTTCTTTCTTTCCCGCAAAAAACAAACACTGGATGCTCGTAAGTCCCATTAAAGCTCTAGATGAAAGCCTGAAAGGAAGCCCAGCTTCATCTGCTCTGCTGAGGGCTTCTGCTGCCCTTTGGTCAGAACCTGACATGGGGCTGCAAGCCCAACCAAAGTTCCACGGAGAAATGGTCTCGCAGGGAAGATTTAGGCATTTTACCCCAATTAATCTTTGTCTTCTAAAAGGCCTGCTTCCTTGCCTCAACAGTTACATTAAGTGTGGTCAGGGGCACATATTCGGAAGAGGATCCAACCCTTAAAACTTCCAATAATGTCTGCTAAGTCTTAATTGATGTGTCTTTTAAAATGCATTGCACGATACAACTGCTCAATCTGATTTCTATCTGTGGCAGATTTTGTGCCAGTATGACAGCTGAGTAATGAGTAGCAACGTCAAGCAGCTTACTCTGTGTGTCCATGTTTTGCTACTGGTATGCACATTATAAACCAGCTCTCCAACATCCCCAGGATTTTTAGACTTATGATAGTAAGAAAATAGACAAGGCTTCAAATATTAATTTTTGCAGTCAGGCGAAGAAAGGAGCTACTTATGAAGTAATACCTCAGAGCTACTCTGACTCTGGATCTTGCTTTTTGATATGCTCTGTGGCTCTCACCAACTTCAGCAAATATCACAGCACAACCCTCAACATTTATATATTACATGAGTTTCTCTGCAACAAAGTCTGTGCAAAAAGCTTTCAAAAGCAAAGTGGCACTGCTGCCCTACAGCCCAAGGACAGTAATAAGCAACAGAAAAGCAACTTGCATTATGGACAATTTTGCCGTATTTTGCAAAATTTATTTGATCAGATAAAAGACAAACCTTCAAGTGGTGGTTATTTCAAACAACTGTGAAACTGAACAGATTCTTCAAAGAGCTTATGCTTCCTGCCACAGAATAAATCAGCTCTTATTATGCATTAGTTCTTTGAAGAGTGGACAACAGCACAGAACAACAGGCACCACAAGCAACAAAAAAGCATCAGTAAGGAGGGTGCAAGAAGAGATAAGGCATTAATTAGGTCTTTCTTACCCAAATCTCTGAGAACTGCCAACACTACAGGGATTTTACAGAGATCACGTATTACACACCAAACAGCCAACATGAAATAAATAATGAATCGCTGACATATCACAAAGCACATTCTAGATATAAAACTGTCTGATCAGTATTAAATCATGTAACTGATGAATAGTGGCTTAACTATCCATGAACTGCAATCTTCTTTCAGAAATCTAATGCTTGGATCATTTCACTGTTGTTAGGAAACATGTAAAAGCTAATGAGAAAACCTCTCAGGCCCAAACACTCAACACAGAGCAACCAAGGCTCTGAAAACCCAATACCTAACACTTTAATAATCACCCCAGGACCATCAAGTTTTGTCTTCGTTTTGCCTCACGTCCTGCAGTGCTATTTTGAGAAATACACCTACCTAGGCTAACTTGGAGGGGAGGGGGAAGATGGGGAAGGACGGGGGCATTACTTGATTTGAACTAAGTCAGCTTTGGATGCAAGTTTTTAGGTTTTTTGCCGTCTTACTCTGCCCTTGTGAGGTGAGCAAATGTCACTGCTAAATGAAACTGCTATACATGTGAGCACCGATCAAAGCACCAGGAGAAGCCCCAACCCTAAAGATTAACTGAACACTGAAAGGAGGCTCTAAGATACTCAGCACACAAGAGATGCGCGGAGGGAAAGCTGACAGGAGCAGGGAATACAGTGACATGTACTGATGAATATTAAGTTCATCAGCAAATAGACTCGGTCACCGACAAATGGGATGTTTACACTAACATTTTAGAAACAACAGTACAAACATTTTAAAGAAGAAATTGACAGATGCAACACTAAGAGTGGCACTGACAGCTTCCAGCAACACTAAGAGTGGCACTGACAGCTTCCAACTGGCAAGTAAACCAAAACGACACTTGCCCCCTTCATTCAAAACCAGGGATTTAACATTTTCAGTTACTGAAGAAGGTGCAAGGATCACATATCTGCCAGAATCACATACTCCCTTGTCCCCCACAGATATCCTAGTTCCAAGCAAACCCCATCACTGCCCACCTATCTAAATCACTCAGCCCTCTAGGATGGAACTAATTGCCATAAAGGCACTTG